CCTTCCCCCAACCTCCCCTGGTCCCCCCTCTTCCCTCCTCCCTTCAACCCCCTTCTCCCTCCTCCCCTGGGTCCCCCCTCCTCCTCCCCTCTGCTGGGCCTTGCCTGTCAGCTGTCAGCTCCTAATGGCATGAGCTGAAGGGCTTGCCTGGAGTGCTTCTAAGGCGTTACATGCATGCATAAAACCTAGGGCAGGGCACGGTATACATGATTACATACATTTAATACGAGACACAGTCAGCCCTGGCAGCATCTGGGGAGACGCCCCGGCAGAGTCCTCTGCCCCAGCAGCGGTCACACACTGCCATCCTGTGGACCTGCAGTCCTGCCCGCACAACCAGGAGGCGCAGGGAAGATAAAACCCCCAAGGCGGCGGAACTGATCCAAGACTTCAGAGCTGCCTGGAAACAAAAGCCCCTCGAGGTGAGGCGGGCACCCCCTCTGCCAGAGCAGGGCCGGGCACGGCTCCGGTGCTTTAGCAGGAGACCGCGTGGGAACGGCCCATAACGAGCACAGGCAGAACTGGGCAGACCAAATGACTCGGGCTCTTCCGGGTAACTTTTATACACTTTCCACCAGACACCTACTCGCTGGGAAGGAAGGAACAAAGGCCATCTCCGCAGGCTGGGTCCAAACCCGTGACCGGCTTAAAGGCACAGCGCACTCCCCGCCAAAGAAACGCAGGACAGCCCGGCCGGTGTGGCTCAGTGGTTGAGTGTCAACCTATGAATCAAGAGGTCACAGTTTGATTCCCAGTCAGGGCACAAGCCCGAGTTGTGGGCTCGATCCCCAGTGTGGGATGTGCAGGAGGCAGCCGATCCATGATTCTCTCTCATCATCAATGCTTCTATATCTCTCTCCCACTTCCTCTGTCTCTGAGATCAATAAAAATATATTTAAAAAAAAACTCAGGGCACTCAAAAGTGTGACCATTAACATAACAAATTATAAGGAGTCCTAAGGATTAGCAGCAGGACCAATGAGCCTTATCTATAAGAACACGAAATAAAATAAGGGAAACATTTGCTGCGTCTTAATACATTAGAGACCATCAATGTTTGTAAAGTAAATCTTATAAGCATTGCTTGCCTGCCTTGCAATGAAAAACATCTTTCTACCCGTCTCAACGTGACATAGAATGTGAAACATTCTCACGTAATTAGATAGCCATCTGATTAGGAGCTTACGCCATACCTGACGTCGAAATCTGAGCAGAAGTGACTTTTCCCAAAATAAAACAAATCTGATCTTTTTTTCCTCCTGATTTTAATAAAAGTGATACTGTTCTCGTCACAAGTATTTATGACTA